TGGAGCGAAGGCGAACCTCCCCTGGACCGGTGCTCGAAAAACGCTAGGGAATAAAGATGTTTGAGGTGGCTAGACTGAGCAGACACTTTCACTCCACCAGCTCAATGTCAGAGCACTCATCTGGCGGAGAACGTCGCCTTAAACAGCCAGCCTAATGAGATGATCGACAGGAATATTTGCTGCCGTCCTCATAGAGACACCTCCCCATCCCATTCTCACGGGGTCAGAGGACAGCTGGCCACACATGTGAACACAAGCTTGACAAGAGCTTCTTCAGAAAAAGACAGTGAATGTCTTTGAGCGACCCAGTCAAACTCCTGACTTGAATCCTACTGGGAAGAGGAAAGACTTGAAAGCTGCCTGCCCCAGGCAACCTGAGAGAGCTCGAGTTAACAGGTATGGCAGAGAATTACCCAAGAAGAGCACTCAGGTTTTGAATTAAATATGAAGTTAAAAAAAAAGTGTTTGGATCATTTTCTCAAAATGGAACTCCATAAGAAGGGTCTAAATACTTTTGCAAGGCACTGTACATTAAAATGTGCATGCTGTGCTCCTTTTTCAGTAAGTGCTACTGTATATCTCACTGTACCTGTGTCAGGTGAGCTGCGTCCCCCAGTAAAGCTATCGGAGTGGTCCAGAGACACAGTCGAACCTGTTCTTGGGACAAGGGCATCCAGTTCATTGAAAATGGCTGACTGGACATCACTGTCTGGAGAGGGGTGAGATCCCAGCTCACTGCAGTCTGGAAAGAACACCACAACAACACAGGACAAAGAGATTTTATGACCGGCAACAAGAAAAATTCACTTTATAAAGAAGCGTTGTTTGATATTTGCCTTTGTAGTTTATTCCATTTCTCAACCTCTGCTCAAAACTATTTAATTGCGCCAGTTCCATTCAAAGTTCATTTGACCCTTCCCCACGGTACCAAGGAAGATATTTCTGTTCTAGTAGGTGTAAAGTTGATCTTAATGAAGTTGTTAAACAAAAGTTTGCTGCCCTGCAGCGCTGGGGCCCTGGGTTCAGTTCCCTCAGTTAGCTGTCTGCAAGGAGTTTGTATGTTTGCTCCCATGTGTTCACATGGCTTTCCTCCAGCGCTTCAGTCCAAACAAGGACACACGAAACTAAGGGGCTTCTGTAAAAAAAAACAGCCCTGGTGTGAGTTTGTGTGTCTGCGAGTCCTGCGATGGACTGGCGTCTCTCCCAGGGTGTACCCTGCCTTGTGCTCGTTGCCTGCTGGGATAGGCTCCGTCTCCCCTGCGCCCCTGAATTCGATCAGGAGGTTAGAGAATGGACAGGTGGAAGACTGGGAGGAGTTCAACTTGTTATCTTGCACTTCCGCTCTTTTATGTATAAATGTCTCACCTGTCTCCTTTAAAGGCATCTTGTTTTCTTACCCCAACCTGTCTTTACCCTTGTATCTGACTCCCTGGCTCATTCCTCACACTGACAGGAGGGTCACGTCAGCCTCCACCTTCCAGCCAGGCCTGCCGTGTCCTCAGCCATTAACACCAATCACTAAAACATTAAGTATGCCAGCCTTTTAAATTTAGCCATTCTGTGAATCCAAATTTGACTGAACCACCAAAAAATGGAATGATTCTCCTGGATATCTACTGAATTCTCAATGAAAGGCACTTAGAATTACAAAGAAGACTTTAATAGAAGCGGCAACTGGAAACGTAAAGAGTCTCTTATGGTTTTCTTTAGAAATGTGAAGGTGAGGAATGTTTAATTTTCTGGAATGAGTGGAAAATCAAAAACAATTAGTTTCTCCTTAGTTAACAAAATGCACAGCGCATGCAGGCAGTGTAAAGCGACTGGACAGTTCAACTGTTTCAAGCACTGTTTCAAAAAGGAGTAAAATGGGTGTTCTTCTCAATATTGGAGACAACAACATGTTGATGAAAAATATATGTTTGCATAGAGCATATATCAAACGTTTGCATAGAGCATATATCAAACTGTACGTTTGAAAAACTGTTTTGTTTTTCAAACGTACAGTTAAATGCTGAGCTTTTTCAGACTAATTAAAGGGACTGTCTAGCCTTTCATACTAGAATGCACAGGGAAAAACCCACAGTCCTTCAGATAAAGGTGACAATAAAATACCTAAAACAGCACAAAACAAATGTTTAGTTGAACTCATTTCACGGACGGATTTTCCTCTGTGCTAGCCCAACAATGTAGGCATACACCGCGCTGTCGACTTCCCTGAACACAAGGGGCCATACAATCGTGCGTATCAGCGTCGGCAGAACTTGTTGCACTCTGCTGAGAAAAATGAAGACAAAAGAATTATTTGACTCAACAGTTCAAAGCATATTGCTGCTGTCAAGGGAGCCTTCATCTTCCAAGAAGATGCCATTCTTCCACAGGCAATGGGAGCACCAAGAAGCTCGAATGAAGTCACTCAGTAACAACAGGGTACTTTGTCTCCTTTCCTCCGGCCAAGTCGTGCACTTGAAAGCCATTTAACTCGACGTTGAGGTTGCATGTGAAGCGACGGACAATGAGACGGGCTTCCTCATTGTCAAGGACAGTTAGACTTTGAAGATGATGCTCAAAAGGGGTCAAGACAGGGTCAACTAGCGATTGTTGGGCCCTTGTGCGGCCATCTGAAAAGGAACACCGCGTATATCACAAAGAAATCATCCATCTGAAAGAGCAACAGAAAAGCACGGTCTGGCAACACTGCCAGGAAGGGCCAGCAGCTGATTCTGACACCCCAAGATCGCCAGCAGCGAGCAGCCATTAGCGTCAGTAATACTGTCGCCATTGAAACGAAAGTCTTCCTTCTTTTAGCCGATGTTTCGGATTGTCCTAAAGTTATCCTAGAGACTTTCTAGACAATACGGAGTTTGGAACTGATCGATCAGGACCACATTTCCTCTGCCTGCTCATGTGTTTTGTTTTCTGTTTTTCAGTTCGGCTGGAATAAAAATCTTGCTTCTCTAGGGAGCCAATGGAAAAAAAGAAAAGTTTTAGAAGAATATCAATTTGTGTGAAGGCTGTTAATTCTTGACCAACTGTTATTTCTGCAATTTTCTAGATGATGATGATGATGATACAGTAAGCTATCCAATCATTTTCTACACCGCTTTATGCAAAGCAGGGTAGCGGGAGAGCTGGACTATCGCAGCAAGCAGCAGGGGTAAGCAGGGTATACCCAGGACAGGACGATGATAATGGTATAGTCATACTCATAATAATGGTAACAATACAAAAGTAGTTATGATCCCTGGGACAGAGTGCCTGTTTTCTTTTTTCCTTTGATGAATATGAAATACTCCAGTATTTTCCTCTTCCCTTCTGGTATGTTTGTGAGTGTGTATGTGATACGAATGATACTTACCTTTTTTGTTTCCCTAAAATCACTGCAGTGTTTCCCCAGTGGAGTATTGTATTGTATTGTGCTGATCAAGATGGCCAACAGTCACCTTTCCTGTTTGTAGTATCCCACAATGCTCCCACAAATGGTCTTAAGGGGAAAGGTTACTGGTGAGCCATCTATAACAGATGTAAGATTATTTGTTTTGTTTAAGTGCATATATAACTGTTGCATGTTGCATAACTGTTGCTCTGTTTAAAGGTATACATTTTTATGGATGGTTAAATACTTTATTTTGACCAAATTGCCCAGGTCTGTGAAAAGACGTGAGTGGGTCCCTTTAAGAGAGGAAGGTCCTTGGAGAGGAGGGCCTATAAAAGGCACTGGGAGAGCTCAGCAGAGAGAGGGTGCCTTGGAGAGGAGGTGTGCAGAGAGTACTCCTGTGAGGGTTTTTTTTTTTTGTAATCCCTATTCTGATGGCAGTAAATCCAGTTGTGTTTGCATTTGAAGACTGCAGTTTGGGAGTTTCTTTTCTTTTGATTCAAACCTGGTCGCTTGGCCAGCGACAATCCCTTTCCCTTACACTGAAAGCACTGTATGATCAAGCACCTATAACATATAACAGAAGAAACAAGACAGTAAAGAAAGCCAAATCAGCACAGTACAAACAAACAGTTCAAAGTTACAAAGTCTCTAATCTGTGCAGTGAGTTCCAGGGATGTGATGCCATCCACAGGATGCTCTGTCCCACTGTGAGAGTCTGGTCTTGGACAGAGAGGGGAGACTCACACTCTGTCCCACTGTGTGAGTCTGGTCTTTATTTTTCAATGTCTCTCGAGCAATTAATGTGGCACCTCCTGTTTGTCAGTAGAATAGAATCCCCTTTTCAGTAATCCTTTATTAATCCTTTACACTGTATATAGAGGGGTCTAAACAAAACAGGACACTGTCCCTTGCTATGTCTATGTGTAACCAAAATCAGTGTCTGATGACAGCCTCTTTCTTTTCTAATTCCTAGTTGTTAGGCAGAGCTTGGCTTTCTCTGACTTCTTGCACATCCAAACCCTGTTCCAGTCTTGTGGGAAACTGGCATGATGACACATCCCTTCCACTTTAGGAAGGGGTGTTCCAATACATTGGTTACCTAAACTTTCACGGTTCAAATGCAGTGGTTACCGAAGCTTCCACAAGAAAGCCTGAATTTCATCCTGAACACTCGAGTGCCTCACAGAGGCAGTGAAAACCGGATTTGGAAGAGCTGATACCTGTCATGCCCCAAGAACATGTAATGCAGTGCTCTGGGAAACCATTCGTTCATGAAAACATTCATTTCTGAAATGAAATATTGAAGGCTTCTTAAAAGAAGACAAAGTCATTTAAAAAGAATGTCCCTCTAAAATTGTGCTCACCTGCTTCCAACCAGCAGACACGTTTTTAAAACGCAATAATAAGAATTTTTGTATCTGCGGCACGAAGGCAGTTTGAGATTTATGGCCACTGGTTTCAACTTCCTCCCCCCGATTCTAACTGACACGCCCAGAGAAAGTGAAAAGGGGCAAAGAGGCTGTTCTGTTAATTGCGATGGTGACATCTGACTGTGCTGAGCAGGGATTTATGGCTAACAGCTACACCCCGGCTCTTCAGGACGGGATAATACCAGACAGAGGAGCCTGAGCCTGCGGCACACGAGGAGCAGACCGCCCATTGTAAGAGCCCCACACTTTGAAACGCTCTGAATCGAACGCAACCAGCATTTTATCAAAAGGCTCCCTCTCTGTTTAGTGGAAAAACCTTTCAGCATTATTTATAAAGCCCCCCCCCCCAGAAAAACAGCCTGACAAGAGTGTCCCAATGATCCAGTGGAAACGAGTGCATCTGAGGCACTTTCTCTGGGCTGGGGCTGTGGTTTTCTTTGTTTGTCTCCCGATGTCCTGCACTCACCAAACAATCCCCACCCCAGGAGTTTGGGTAAATAAGTGCTCACAATGCCCTCGGAGGAGCCTGTGAACATACCATATGGAATTTGGAGGGGGAAAAAAAGGAAAAAGTTTCCTAACCTCTTTGAGGGGAGATGGGGGGGAGAACTGGCCACTGGCGGAGCTCCAGGTCCGGCCAGGTTTCCTCCGCGGAGGAGAGCGGCGTCCCCGGCTGCGAGCGCGTCCCCTCAGCGCAGGCTCCTGGCCCCGGAGGGCCCGCGGCCCGCCTGCTCGGCCTGCTCCTCCGGCTACCTCTGCTCGGGTCCCCGGGGCCCAGGCTCAGAGGCAGGACATCGGCAGCCCAGCCAGGGGCCCGGGAGAAGGAGGAGGAGCGGAGCCCCGAGAGGACGGGGCTGCCTCCCCGGCCAGCACTGCCGAGGCCTGCAGACGGAGACAGGGCACCGGGCTGTAAACGGAGGACCCAGCCCGGGGGGCAGCAGAACTCCAAAGGTCAAAGCAGTGTCGGCGTTTCTGAACAGCAACTGGCCACGTCCCAGGAATTACATCCCCAGGATCAGCGCCATTGCTCTTATACACATTTAAATCTTTAACTTCTGCCATTTGAACTCAAAACGTCATCTCTTTTTAATCCAATCTCAGAAATCGGGAAATGTTTTATTCCTTCAACCAAAGCGAAAAACTCTTTAGTCTTAAAGTCTAACACCACTGAGCTATAGAAGGGGCTTCACATGACATGTGAAGGGATCACATCCACACACATCTTTCCGTGATCAAGTTATGATGTGCTGGGAAAGCCCTGCCTTGGACGCTGCTAACACACGTCAAAATAGCTGTGCTGAAAAGGAAGAACAGAAAATAGAGGCATAACTGTGAAGTGTAATGATCAAGCTATGAATTCTCTGTAGGAGAATTAAAACTTCATAAGCATCAGAGTTTTGTTACAGATGCAAATGCATTTTTAATTAGCAGACATGCATAAAAAAAATTAATAGAATAGCTACAATATGATCAATTGCAGTCCATATCAGGTGGTGTTCATAATTTAATCAATACACTGTTTTATCATTCGAGGAAGTAAATCTGTTCCACGTTCCACTGAGTGTATTCCTGTAATTTTAGGAAGCAAAGGTGGGAAACCTTCACTTGTTTCATAAAAAAAAATGAAAGTGAAGGAAAACCGAAAAGTCGAAAGACCTATCAAAATAAACTTTGGTCTGGAGCAAGAAGCTGTATCCTTCGGGTGCTTCTGTGACTTAATTACCGGACTGCGGGGGTGAGGGGTGTGGCGTTGTACCAGACAGTGCAGAGCTTCTCCCGCTGCTAAGCGAGGTGCTGCGGCTGAACAGACTGGAGGCCGGCCTGCTGAAGCTGGACAGTGAGCCCCCAGCGTCCGACAGGGTGGGAGACGTGCCGCCCCTCGTGGGGCCCACATCGCCAGGTGAGGGGTGGACATCAGCAGGGTCAGGACCGCCCCAGAGGATCTCCTGTTCTTTCGTCTTCTCTTCCTGTTCTTCTTCCCGAGCCCTGGCATCCGCCTCAGGTGGCCCTCCACTCTGGCAGGCTCCTGCTGGCTCCTGAACGTGTGCAGGGCTGCTACCACAGTCTTCCTCAGACGAGGCTGGGCTAGGAGCAGGAGACCTGGGCTGCTTGTCCGGGACTTGTATGGGGATACTCTGTGCTGTCTTCTGGGTTTGGTGCAGGCCTCTTTTGGGATTGAGCACTAAAGACAAAACAAGATTATGAATTCCGTACACTGCCATGCAATTTACCAAAGAATCTGTGAATACAATGTTCTCTTAAGAGCTTCAAAGAGGTATCAGATACACTGTGTCCCGAATTTGGTCCTAAGTTTTTAAGGTGATCACAAAAGTAAGAGGTAATGCAATTTCTCAGCAAACCATAACGGATTAATGCGTTTTGTTTTATTGCTGTCATTCATTATGCCCAGCTCTTCAAACTGTAAAAGCAAATAGCTCTTCCGTCAGTCAACAGCAAACGCAATTTTTAAAAGTAGCTCAGGTGGGCGGCTGCGTCAGCAGGCGTAGGCTGCAAAGGAACAAGTTAAGGTTTATTCCCTGCTGGAAAGAGAAGAAAGGAAACACAACGTTTCGGCTGCGGAGCCTTCTTCATTATCTCCTTAAGCCATGCAACCTCTTCTCTGAATGCCCCTTTCTTTCATTAAAGCACCACACCATGTATGCGCTTTAGATAAACCTCGACGTTGATCAATTATGTTGGTGACCATTGTCTTGCTATCAGACAGTATTCCTGAAGATCCGAAAGCTTCAAAGAAAGCCCTGCCGCCATGGTGCCAACACATCTTCCACTCTGCACTGTTTACGCGCTTTTTTTCTTCTCCGTGTGCTGTCTGCGCCGGGTGCGCCATTGTGTGACGTGAGGCAGCGTGGGTCAGAAGCGTTTTCTGCCAGGCACAGCAGTGGAGCTCTGGGCAGGACCCAGGCCATGCATCTTCCATGTCAGAGCCATCAATGGCACATGACGTCTCCTGGTGACCAATCAGAGGAGCTCTGACACCCTACCGGGGGGTATATTGGCACGCTGAGCTCTTTAATGACAGGCATTGTTCAAGACGCACAAAGAAAGGGCTTGAATAATTAACATGAGGTCCTGTGTGGAGGTCATCAATATGCCACATTCATCATAATTTAAGACTCAAAAGGAAAATCCGACACACTTTGCTGGGGCTTGCCTGTGACATGTCCCAGTTCACTGGGTTTTAAAGTGAAGGTTTCCTGTTTTACTAGGCTATCCAGGCATTTCTCAATTCAACAGTAAACCTAAGGTCTTAATAAAGTACTTGGCCAATTTTGAGGTTGCAACAGATTGCAGTAAATATAAACATTGGAGTAATACACTAATGTTTAAATGAAGTCCTTGATGGTGATTAATGAGTGCAAATAAATCCAAAAGACATTAAAAGATAATATTTGTTATCAGAAAATTGGGAATGGTGGGATACTTTATAGCCATTCACAAGAATATATATTTATTTTTATTTCTTTTACTGTATCTATCTAAAGACAGTAGCTTCTATTCTAAATATATATGGTTAAAAAAACTCTAACTTCAAAGATCCACTTCACAAGAACTGATTGCTTCTTAAACTAAACAAGGAATGCAAGCCAATTTACATCCGAGTGAATTCATTCAATCTTACATCCAAGCTGATTCAATTTTTTGTTTTAATTGCACTGTCACAGATATAATTTATGTAAAACATAGGGAAGTATAAGTTCTTTTGATTTACTGCGGTGTCTCTGTTATTACGCCTGATTACGGCCTTTGTCATAGGAGATTCAGAGTTGCTATTTATTAATGTAGTGCAGCTGACAAATGTCTCGTGTAATCTATCTCTGCCCTGACTCGCAAGTCTGAAGTGTCCTGAAAAAGACGTGTGAGCAGGTGAGGATGGTCCTTGCAAAGCAAAAAGAACTGCGAACCTTTAATCTTCAAACCCATGGATTCGTGAGGTTCACTTTGAGTAAAACAAATAGAATATAAAAATAATTTTAAAAGACTAGATGGATTAAGAGGTATTTCATGGTTTCCTAATGTGTAGGATTTCTTCCTTCTGTACATAAGTACTGTATCTAGACAGTTTATAGTATATTTTAAATATTGTCCGAAAAGCTGCAGGTCTCGCATGGTTAGAGAAAGGAACCAGGTAAATTATGCTGCCAGCACAGAAATAAAGATGTTCGGAGGCTCCAGGGTTTTTTCCGAGAGTCTCCTCAATGAGGCACAGACACAGCGGTTTGTATCATGAGCCTGAGAAGACGCTGGAGCTCATATTAGAAAATATGAAGGAAAACTGCTCTGGATGTATAAGTCCGCTTTCACATTCCATTTTGAATCTGTTAAACACGTACACCTTTTCATTCATCTGTGTTTGCACAGAGTACACACTCAACAGATCCACGTGTAACAAGTCTTTTTTGGGATGTCATTTCTCTTAACTTTGATTCTGCATTTTAGTAGGTCTAGAGGAATCTTTTGATGTAGTAATTTAATATTGTTATAATTACTAAAAAAAGAATACTGCTTTTTTTTTTTTGTCTTTTCCAGGCATGGCACTGTATCTCTTTTTCCACAACACAAATCACTCCTGAAGAACAGCAGCAGCAGCAGCAACGACAACAAGAAGCGAACTAACATCCAGTCAGACAAGCAGAGTGAGGAAAAAAAGCCCATCGGTGTGCACCAGTGGTAGGGGTGGAGTTCAGTAGTCTGACGGCTGTACTATTAGTCACCTGCAGGTTAAACAGAAAGCAATCACACTGACCATGGAAGATACCCAGTGATAATGATAATGACACTGACTGGGTTTCGGGTTCAGGGTTAGAGGACTGGGTTCCTAACACGCCCGAGTGTTCCACTGTCAGTTCCATTGCCACGTCACAGAGTTCCGCATGTCCCTGTGTTAGGGCACAGAAACGGCATAACCCGCTAACGCTGGCCTTTTCTCTTCTTTTATAGGCCTCGTGCACATCTTTTATTTCTGTCCAGCACCATGCCGTGACACCCCTTAAACTTTCAGTTTAATTTGCGTTCACTCCCTCGACTTTCATCTTCCGTTTTTTTGTAGTCCCTCCCTTACAAATCGCGTGTGAAATTTACCACAGGTCTGCACTTTTCCTGACTGGAACCTTCTGTCTTCAGTGGCATGTAGGCCTCATTATTATTAATGGGGTAAGAGAGCTCCTGTGCTTTTGCTGTCCTTATCGCACTTCTGTTCTGAGCTGCTCTGGCTCCTCCTTTTCAGAACCTTCTTGTTCTCAGTTTCCCACCTTCCTAAAAGAAACCTCAGGCTTCAGTCGCCAAACTATCCCACTGAGCTGACTGTGTCTGCAAAGACAACCTCACACAGTGAGAAGACATTCTCAGTGTCCACGGGATACATCTCTCCACGGTCTTAGCCTTCTTTTCACACTTCAGAAATGGAAGGCCTTTTTTTAATCGCCCGCGAGAGCACATCCGTTTTAAAACATCAGTCAAAGATCTTCCGAAGCCGTACCGGTGAAAATGCTCAAATCGGGCATCAAAGAGAAACTTCCGAGAGAATCCCAGCTCCTGAAGTGAAAGCCTGCTTACTTTACTCCTGCTGGATCTACCCGACTGAGGCCTCATTGTGCTCATCAATACAGGACGGGGGACGACAGAGAAAGTCCTCAAAGCAGGACAGACTCTGATTTCTATAGCAATGTGACCAGTCACCAGGAGAGCCCTGATACCAGACTAATGAAAAGACCCCTGTCTGTCTCCTAACTAGTCACCAGTGGCTCTCCGATGCAGAAAAAGCAGAGGATCAGTGGGTATAACCCCCCCCCCCCAACCCCGCCACCAGCACCAGCACCAACACACAGAGCGCCCCCTCACTCCCCCTCCCACAGTGCCTGCCACCCACCCGTCCGAAATCCCTTTCATCTCCGGCCCTGATCCTTTCGATAAATAAAAACGGCAGCCAGAATATTTCTGCCCCGGGAGAGGGGAGAGAAAGGGCACAGGGAAATCCTCCCTGGACAATCCCTGCTTGTTATACCCCCGGTACCATGTGACCAAAGTCATTCTGCAGAATAAAGAGCAGAAGCTGGGTACCAGATTTCTGCAATGATCTTTTCACAATTCCCAGACTTATCCCATCTGTTATTCAAGGGGCCGCTTGAATGGCGTGTGTCAGCGGCGCTGTAGCTGTGTAAACTGCCCTAAGAAACCGCTGAGCCCTTTTCCGCTTTTACAGGGGGGTGGGCTGATTGTTGCTGAGCCGGACGCCATATGGTTGAATAATTAGCTGTAGACCCCAATGCGGAGAAATGCTCTCCCTCTCACTGACGTGCCTTCGAATATGTATGTTAATGGTGAGCAGGTGACAAATGCCGGTGCATTAAAAACAACTCGAGTTCCGAGACTACAGAGCGCCCCTCCGCCGCGACCCTTTCAGACTCGTAGGCACAGCAGCAGAAGATCCAGGTCGTCTTGACGGCTGGTGCTGCTGTATGTGAGCTCCCACCTTGAAGAAAACTGTGTGTACTGTGACAGTTGTGTACAAAGCAGCCGCTGACGCGAAACAAACGACTTTGAACTGAATGACGGCTGCTATCATCCAGTCCGTGACTGCTACAAGGCAACACCCGAAGCACTGGATCGTCAGCAAATGATTTGGAAATTCTGGCCAATGCATTTTTTAAATAAATACACATTTGGGGTCAGACTTATTATTGCATGTTCCGGATGGAAGATATTGAGATATTACTGAGATTTTTCACAAAAAGGCATGGACTTTGTGCAGCAAATACAAACACTCAAGCATGTTGCAGATTTAGCCGATGTCTTGCTAATATTCTGTGATTTATAGGTTAATAGAAACCAGACATACCAAGTATTGAGTTTCGGAGGGACTTCAAAAAATAAGTATACAACAAGTGGTGTGTAAAATACATTTTTCAGAGTATTTTACTTATAATCCCCAGGTTAATCAGGTAGTACGCAATTAAAAACCAAGAAGAGATTGAACTGTAATTTACCTTTTCATCTTTGATACATACTGAATACAACTATGATTTGGAGAGATTTATCACTTTCAGATGTGTTTTCTGTAGACAAAACATTGCTTTTTGTCATTTTAGAAGAAAGGCACTTGACACAATATACATTTGTGATTTTTGGAACAGCAAAGTTTTCTGCCTTTCGACAGTTTGCGTTCAGTGTTCGCATTTCTGAATTGCAGCAGTCACTGAATGAGAACATCTAGCAGTTACCCATGAATCCAAGCACCTTATCCCTTTCAAGTCCAAGCATGGCCAGCAGACCTAATCCAGCAGTTCCTCTCGGTGACCCTGAAGATCGGCAGTTTGATACTTTTTTGACTTAGAACGTGGAATTTTGATCACTTTTTGTCTCCGCTGCATCAGGAGCAGCTGGCTGTGATTCACGAATGCTACAGGGACATTTTTCACGAGGAATGACAGCAGCCGAAGCCCGTGTGAAAGTAGAATCGTTTATTGCGCTGGTGGGAATGTGGCTGAGGGCTGACCTCCTGGCTATAGGATGGGGAGTCCAGGACGTGCCTGCCAGGTGAGAAGGTGACCAAGGGGCAGCGGCAGGGGTGGAGAAGGGGTGGAGGAAAGATGAACAATTGAGGGAGGGAGAGGAGAGGGTGACATGAGGTACGTATGAGAATTGAAGCCGTTACGTCAGGATTAGGTGGGAGTTGCGTCAGCTGAGCTCAATTAGTTCAACTGCCTTCATCCCTCCTGAACTTTCATCAGACCTCCGTCACAGTGCTGTGTTTGGACATTGATGATTTAAGAGTGACCCATGGGCTTTTTTCTAGAACCAGCGCTGGCTTCTCCTGCAATCGCTCCTCTCAGTGTTTATTTTGTCTCTTGGACACAGAACTCTGGGGTCTCCTTACTCACCTGGTACGATAGCTTAGAAACAATTCAAACACATGTCTGCGTACCTAGGGTTGAAGATCCAGTAAAGACGGTTCAGTAAAACCCTCAGTTTTAGTAGACTAACAGGGGAAAGGGACTTTTTTTGTACATATTGTTAACACTTTAGTTTATTTTTCTAAATGACTGTTTTTTTCAGAAACATCCCTACAGCATAGGAAACATTAACAACAACATGTGTAGTGTAGGCTGCAAAGGAACAAGCAAAGGTTTACTCCACAGCCGAAACGCTGTGTTTCTTTTCTCCTCTTTTCAGTGAGGAATAAACCTTAACTTGTTCATTTAGTCTTTGTTTTCTTCTACAGTATTTCACTCCATTTCTAAAATGAAACCAGGCCCGTTGTCCAGACCAGTTACTGCTTTACCAGACGTTGCCCAGACTTTATTGTGGGGAAAGTCCACTATTTCGAATCTTACAGGTTAAATTCCCCTTTAGCAAATCTTGTCCATTGAATCAAAAGTCCTTTAAAGTGACACCCATTAAACTGAGCGTCGAGGGCAATAATAGAAATATGTAGTGCGGCCAAAACGATTCTGGAGGTCTCAACAGGTAACAACAGGTCCCCCGGGGCTGTACCTGGGCCTGTCCTCGGTGTGGAGAGGGCAGGTCTCCGGCCGGTCACAGGGGGGCGAACCGGAGGTTTGGGGGTGGTGCTGAGAAGCCGGGGAGGTCGCAGAGAGCCCGGGGAGGCCTTCATGTGAGCCAGGAAGCGTGGACAGGGTCTGAAAGGGCGGCTGCTGGATGCCTTGTGCTGGAACAGAGGGGACAGAGCGTTGGATGAGATTATCGTCACGGCGAGGGTCCGAAGAGGAGAACAGGAAACAGGGAATTATTCTCCTTCAAACCACGGAATAAAGGAGGCACCGAAGAGATCTGGGAAATTAGGGTTTAAGAAAGGCGAAACATAACATACAGTATACTGGAACAAGTAATGGGTTTATTCCATGCTGAAAAAAAGAAGAAAGAGAACACAACGTTTCGGCCACGTTGTGACACCTGAAGAAGGCTCCACGGCCGAAACGTTGTGTTCTCTTTCTTCTTTTTTTCAGCATGGAATAAACCTATTACTTGTTCCTTTCAGCCTACGCATGCTGACGCAGCTACCCACCTGAACTAATACAGTATACTGTATGTGTGACCTGTATATTTGTGTTTTTTATTGCCCGATTCAAATCTGTCCAAACCCTTATGATTCAGAAACAAATATATCTGAATCCCGTATGCTTTTCTCAAAACTTCTCTCTCACAGCCACACACAAGCACGCAGCTTTAGGAAACCCTACCTTGATTTCAATAGCGAGGGGCAGGGTTTCAGCTGAAAAGATAACTGGCGTAGCACTGAAAAAAAACTCCAAAGTACCCTGCAGATCAGATTACACTGATTCAATTGAGTAGCTCTTTTGTAATTGGCAGAATATTAAGTTGAAGGAAACTTCAAAATAATGTACTTGTACGCACAGGGCAGACATGGTTTAATCTATCAGCCTTAAACCATCACCATCACCCGATAACCTTTACCCCACATTGTTATTAGTTTTCATCTTGTACTAATGGGATGATCACCAGCCACTTCAGAAGCGAGAGTTTTGCTCAGATTGTTCAGAATGTTGAATCTCATCACACTTTCACGCTGGTAGAGTGCTGTGTGCACAACCCACAAGCACAGTGCTGACTGAATGTCAAGTACTGTACTCTTACTCTGGGCTGCGCTGAAATTTTCTATTGGGTTGATTAAGTGGACAATTAACAATATCCCAAAGGAGCCTGTACAGTAATATGTAAAAGTATGTAAGGAGTGTCCACAGCGAATTATTTTCTCAAAAAACATTTTGTTGTTTTAATTTTAACGTAACACATAATTTCCTCAGTGCAAGCTGCCTTTTTTACAACCCAGACATGTTACTGCCTCTTACTGTGATCTTTCAAGGCAAGGCATTTCTGCACAGCACGCCATGTGCCTCTTGGCTCCTAAAGTCTATTTAATTTTACTGTTAATAAGAGCAGAACGTCCTCTCAGAAAGCTGCCATCCGCAGACAGAAATGGGAAGACGGCATTACAGTACCGGGATCTTCAGCTCCGAGCTCTAGGATTTGAAGGATAGAAAGAAAATGCTATAAACTCGGCAGAATCAAATTCCATTCACAGTCACTGTTCTTCAATTATGGCTCCCCCTTGTGGACATCATTCGAAGGTGCGTCTTGTGGATTATCTGTGACGCTGCGGTCCTTTTAACGGCGCTTAATGCCGGCGTTGTCTGAACTGCAGAAATGGGGATCGCAGCTGAAAGAGGAGAGACCTGCAGCAAACGACATTCTCAGTGTGGCTCTGTTCCTGTGCCAAGCCTCTAACTTTGTACCGCACACAGAAGCACATTCTTGAAAACGCACATACAGTTGTTATGTAGTCAAATAACAAAACTATGGATGTTGAGGTTGTGCAGTGGTTAGCCTTGCTACCCCGAAGTCCTGCAGCCCTGGGTTCAATTCCAGACCTGAGGTGCTGTCTGCATGGAGTTCCTATGTCCTCCTCAAGTTTACATGGGCTGGAGTTTCCTCTCAAAGGCCAAAGATATGCTGGTTAATTCATTGGCTGATGAGAGAACTGGCCCTGGTGTGAGTGTCTGTGTCTGTGTGTGCCCTGCCATGGACTGGCGTCCTGTCCAGGGCGTATCCTGCCTTGCACCCTTTGCAAGCTGGGATAGGGTCCAGCTCCCCAGCGACCCTGTACTGGAGAAGGCAGTTAGAAAATGGATGGATTGATAAAAACATGTGTATTCTGCACTACTCTCATCTCTGTTTCAACAAATACTGTAAATTCTGATTCCTACATCCTATTGTGCAGTAGAGAATCTATATATAAAAAGCATATATATTCCAATAAGAATATTGTATTTCCTAGTAAGTTGTCACCATTTTAAGGTCCAAAATTGAAATAAAAACATTGTATAATCCTGTATGGCATAAAACCTGGGTTTAATACTACATTCAAAAAATGTCCAAATGCGATTAATTTAGGAAGAACTTGGTTGTATATTTGTTTACTAAACAAAATAGTAACCATCATATAATCATAGCAGTTTAGTTATCATTAACCGTAGAAGTTGAAGTCATACCTCTGTTGAAATGTATTACTGTCATTATCCTTTGTTTCAGGAATTCCTAAAAGGAGGAATGATCTCCAAAAGGATCTGTGAACTGGAATTAATCAAATGAAGAGCTGTAATCTGAAGTTCACACAAACTGCTTTCCCTGCTCAGGCTGCTCCCTGTTTCTACAGCACCAGAACAGACTTTCTCTGGAACATCCTGTTGTGGGAGTTTGAGCCCTGCAGTTTCTTCTTCCACTATGAACTCGTCCTTTTTTTTTTGGAAGTCACCAGAGATGCTCATAACCACATTAGACTGTCCACAGCAGACCTCATGGCTGGTCTCAAACCCTGTCTTTCAGCAGGAAGGAAGCACAAGCCAGCTCAATTACATTTGACATTGATTCCTGGTACTGTAGATCCGACTTATGGCTGTTCACACTGTTTTTAACCGGTATGGCATATTTTAATCAAAGGGTGCGCTTTTTTCTTTCAACAAATGCCAAATCTCTGAGTCTCTCCTGAGGAAGTGATGGACAACATGATCCAAAACTCTCTGCCGGCTGCCCTCTTCATATCTAGCTGTGCGGATTATCTTGCTCCCTATGAACTGAAAACACTGAAAGTGAAACACTGTGTTCCCGCACCATGCCTATTCCAGCGTTTCATCTACAGTCCACAGCCATGTCAGAGAAGCCATCTTCTTTAAAGGAATGGCTGCCTGAGAGCACTGGGGCAATTAGATACACAGAACCAAACTGGTCCAATGGGTTGAATGGCCTCTTCTCTTATTGTTATCTTCCACAGAATGGCAAATGTACCTGAGATAGCTAGCTAGATGGATAGATGGATAAATGGATAGATGGACAGGTGGATAGATGGATAGATGGATGGATGGACAGATACTTTATTGATCCCGTGAGGGAAATTGCAGGGCAACAGCAGCCTGGCACAGTCAATACAGCACAGTGTAACGAAATGATACAATAATACACAATACACTACAGTACGTACAGTCCATCAGACAATGTAATATGCTTTCTGAATGCATCTCACTTCAAAGGAAAGTAAATAGCACAAGAACAATCTATCTTTCCAAGAGGAAAGAAAATCTCAGTAGGCTAAAGAAATCTCATGTTCTCATCTCGTTTGGGACACAGCTTTTAATCTGGCTCCCTGGGGCACAGCTTCCTCAACAAGAGCTGGTCATTTGTAAGAGACATGCATGCTCACTTTAAAGGAATACAAGTGTAAATCGCAGAATGCCGTCAGGGTTTTGTAAGTGCAGGACCTCATAGTCTAGTAGAACAGCTTGCCACTGACTTCAACCAGAAATTAAAGACAAAAGAGCTTATACTGTAGGTTCCATTGTTAGTAAACCACGGGATAGGCTCATATTCTACCGGGCGGGAGTCATCTTTTTTTATCCAACATCCTAACATGTTTATTGGGGTCGTTGCTGGCTTTTATTAATTAGTCGCAATTACCATTTGTACCAAGGATAGAGTGATTGATGATTTCAGTGGAACTATAAACCCAGCTGGAAGTGCTCATCGGGATCGGCTTGGGCCACCCATGCTCCAGAGAGGACCCAGAGCACCATGCATGCAGGTGCCCTCTGGCGACAACAACCACCTCCAACACATCTTTCACTTCCGTTCAGAGTAGCAACGCAAGGACAGCCGTCACCCTGAAGCATAGGAACAGTTACTAACAAGAGCAGGCCAACTGGGCCCATCTTGGTCGTTCACTAGTTAGAGATGGACTGATGTCAGGCCCAGCTGTTTACTGAAAGAAGCCGGAGTATCGGCTTCCACCACATGGCTGGGCGGCTTGTTCCACACTCCCACGCAAACATGGGTCATTCATATGGTGTTTCAAGGAATTACCAACTCAGGCCTGTAGCTTCCTTCTACCTTGGCATGCGTGGCCAGGCTCAGGTATATAGCAACGGGACAAGTCAAGTGAAAGTCTGAAGAGGAAGACGTGATTTCAGACAGCACCAACGGGGCAGTGAATGTTACTGAGGGGCTGACGCTGACAGAGCTCTGGGAGAACGGTAACTGCTCTCTCGACACATGTCCCACTCATGAGCTGGAGATTTCTTCTGTCGCGTGATTCTATGACTTTATAGCAGGAATGGCCTCTACACACTACTTCTCCCTGCCACACACAACAATACACCTCCTTTAGCAGCAATGACACACACAGGCACGCTTAGACACACAAACACTTACAGACCCATGGACGCACAAATACAGGAATGGACACACACAAATGCATGCACACACGCACACACACAGACACACTCACACATGCACACACACAGACACACTTACACATGCACACACACACACACAGACACACTCACACACACACAGACACTCACACACAAACAGACACACTTACACATGCACACACACAGACACACGCACACACACACTCACACATGCACAGACACACTCACACATGCATGCACACACGCACACACACACAGACACACTCACACACGCACAGATACACTTACACATGCACAAACACACAGACGCGCTGCTCTCAGGGTGCACATCTTCGAGTCCCTGCAGCTGGGAGTCACTAATGCAAACTCTCCTTCCTGAGTCTCCGTGCCCTTTGGTTGCGCTGCTCAATGGAAAGTATGCATTTTTCCTCCGCTGCTTGTTTAACCCAGAGATGAAAAAAAAAACAGTATTTAATGCACTAGACACGTGTGTTGGGAATCCTTTTCAAACAAAGTCCAGTTAGCAATAAAATATGCCAGGACAGTAAATATTGATTTTCGTGATTGATCGCCTAGCACACGCCACTCAGTCGGCTCTGTGTC